TTACACTTCCCTCTTTTATATACCAGCGTACCTTATTTCTAGTAAGAACTTGAACATTCGCCAAAGTACATGATAGTTCTAGAAACGTTACGTCACGGTGGTCATGTGACTCGCTGACGCAACACTATAATATTACAAGAAGACAGCAACGAATGGCATACTCATTAACCACATTTATACCTTTCTGTTGGAACTCAGTATTTATGAATACTGCACATGTGATACAATTCACTTTTGTTTTGTGAAGCTGATTAATATCGCTCCTATAGATCTTATTTGACTTATGTATACATTTATAGCCAAAGAGATAGAAATATATGCTCTCGTTTCTTCTTGTTGTGGTTTGTTATTGAGCAAAGTAACATTGGGCTATACGTTATGTCCACCGCGGGGAATTGAACCCACTGGGGGACAGAAATATGATAAAGCCTGTTCCAAAACAGATATTACTAATATATGACTAAAATTCGAATAAGCATGATTTTTACAGTAAAAAATTGTAGCACTGCACACTTCATTTTTCTTTCCATGTTATATTTACATTAGTTGTAGGTGAATATATTTTTATCTTTACTTGCATTTTCTTATTCTTGTCAAAATGGTTTAAAGTCATCATAATGCCAACGAACTGACTATTTTGCTTATCATGAATATGTATTTAAATTTCCTTTAATTGGGGGATTTTGATAAATAGTAGACTAGATAATTCTTATAACTTGAAATAAAATTAGGCCTAATTCAGGTTTTGGAATCGAAGAAAATCGGAAGGTGGCGTCATGCTTGAAAATTGAGGTTTTTACATTTTACAGGTTGTGATCGTATATAGATTAAATTCAGTTTAACTCGCACGTAATTAACGTATGCAACGTGTAATTCTAAGACAAGGTTAGTATAAATAAAAATAGTAATAACATTATTGTGATTATTGACAAGCTACAGTGAAAACACAACAACAACAAAACTGAATTTTGAAAAAAAGTGTAATAAATATTCTAGCCTAGGATTAGCAATACCGAATAGGATTGCGAATGCGAGAATTAATGTTAATAATGTAATGTCGTTAAACGTAAGTAGGTTAAATTTAATATAAGTTATAACAATATGAAATTTAACATTTAGAAGACAACAAAGGATCTGTTGTCGATCCATCTAGTCTGTCCCATCTATTAAGTTAATATTTAATTTATCAAAGTATACCTATACACTTCTAAAATCAGTAATTTTAAAGTAAATGTACTGCATCTGCCAAATCTGAAGGCAACTCATTCCAAAGACCAACTACCCTGTTACTGTTAGAAAAATAAAACTTACTTCCCAGAAGATGACTCCTGCCAAAATTTGTCTCCTAGTCCTACAATTGTACTAATACCATTCTCACAATTAAATATGGAAAAAATAATAATGCTTTGACACTATCAGTTCCCTTAATAATCTTAATCAGATCCACTCTTAAATTCTTTTTTTTTCAAGAGAAATCAATTTTAGAGATATTAACATGTCCTCAGTGATACCTTTCCATCAGAGATGTCATTTTGGTATACCTCTCTGAACCCTTTCCAACAATTTGATGTTCTTTCTAATGTTAGTAGCCAAAGACTGAACACAGTACTCCAAATGTGGCCTAAAAATGACTTGTACAGTGGAATTATAATCACAGTAGACTTGTATTCAGTATTTCTTTATACCCAACTTAAAATCCTATTTGCATTACAACTTGCAACTGCATGGGTAACTTAAGAGATTGATCAACCAGAACACCAAGATCCTTTTTTTACCATAACACCTATTGAAATTATAAACTATGGTAACCCAAGTGCATTACCTTGCATTTATTATAATTAGAAGTCATTTGTCATTTATTTGTTCAACTCGCTAATTAACCTGAATTTTTTTGTAAAGCAGCAACAGCATCCTCAAAGCCAGTATCATCCAAGACCATTAACTATTCCTTCATCTATCATTGGTGTAAATCAAAAAAAGCAAAGGTCCTAACATTGAGCCCTGAGGCACCTCATTTGTGACATTAGTCAATTTTAATTGAACAATGTATGTTAAACATTGTTTTCTTCCATCCAGCCATTTTTCTGTCCAATGAACAAACTTATCCCCATACCTCTGGAGTTAAATTTTTAACAAGTCTTATATGTGGTACCTTATAAAATGCATTCTGAAAATCTAGGTGTACCAAATCCAAACCCTTATCCTCACTTACATAAGCAGTAACCTATTTAAGACTGTCGTAAGATTACTAAGGCAAGATCTTCTTGTGAAACCAAATTTACTGTTCAACAAAATTTTTAACTTTGTATGAAGTAACTTTGTAAAGATTCTTTTATTTAACACTCTAGGTTTTCCCACTAAAATAAGACCAATTGGCCTACAATTTGCAGGAAAACTTAATCATTTCCTTTAAAAATAGAAGTAACATTTCCAAACTTTTCAGTTCTAAGGCACTTGTCCACTGTCTAATGACATACCATAAGTGAAGGAGAGAGATTTGCACATCTTATCTTTGACCTTTATTAAACCCTTGAAGAAAACCTTAAAAGTCTAATCCTGGTTCTTTATGTTTAATCTTTCAGTTTACCTACTCGCTTAATCCTGTTCCTACCAAGTGATGCATAAAGACTCTTTCTCTCTACTTGCCACTACGGAATTAATATCTACATGATTCAAGTCAATTCAAATAATGTTCAGAGTCAGGAATATTGCTAATATCTTCTCTAAAATAAAGGAGAATAAAACGTTTTAAGTTGAGCCTTCAAATTGTATTCACAAAAATCTTACCATCAGCATCCTTTTAGGGCTCAATCTCAATTTTAACATTTTCTTGCTTTTAATATACTTAATTCCAAACACTATCAGCCAACTGTTTCATATAGGCCTTTTTTGGTTTTTTATCTGTTGTTTTGTAGATTAACTTCATTTTTTTCCAAGAGTTCTGTAAGTTTTCTAACCTCTTTGTCAAAAACTTTAAATTATTGCATTTATTCTTGATTTTTTCTTTTGTGTCTTTTGGTAAATCAATTAGGTTTGACCTTTGTGTTTTCCTTTCCTGTTTTTAGAAACATGTATTATCATAAATTAAAGCAATTTGTTTTTTTAAAACTTGACACATCTGTTTCACATCACCTTTTATCTCATCATCATCATCATAATTCACTAATGATAAATCTTGTCTCATGGCAGGGTATTATCCATGGTTTGAAAATTGCTCATCCAACTTTGTTAAAGAAGTGAAGTGTGGAAAGCACAAACCTGAGATGCAATCTGGTATATTTCTGAAAAGGATGCAATAAAATTTTTAAAAATTTGATTTCATTTTAAGTTGGAAATTACTATTTAACTCAATCATCGTCAAAATACCATTTGATACTATGAATGCTGAAATACCTACATTCAAAGTATGGATTAAAATAGATGATTGTAAACAGTACATGAGGGAACAATCGAAAGAATCAAGTACTGTATTAAATGGTGAAACACAAAAAGTACCATTTGCTATGTTGTAGACAAATTTATTTTAGTTTTACAGAAATTAATGTTTTTACTCATCTTGTCATCTTCATATTCAGGTTTTTGTCCATTCAAAAAATGGATGAATAAGTTGGTGACTTTAAGCTTATCTCAAGGCCTCAGAATTGGCTTTCTGAAAGTGAGGAACTAAAATTTCATTTATTTTTATGTCAACTTGTAGCAAAGCAAACCTAATTTTGCAAGGACCACTCTTCCCCAAATATTCTCTTACTTCAACTCTTGGAGTTATATCCATAGTGGTTAACAATGAATCTAAAATGGCATCTACTCTAGTTGGCTTTCTGACTATTTAGTGTAGAAAATCATCCAGAGTCACTTCAGGAAATTTTGATTTGATTTTTACAATCCCAAACAATGTGTGTAAAAGTAAAATCTCTGATGGTTATTGCATCATTATTCTTATTAGAAATAACTCTGATCTCATTACACATTTTATGAGAGACATGAACTACCTCATCAGGTGGCTGATATTAATTGCCAATTTCAAAATGTCTGCCATTGAAATTCCTAATAGTAACCTATATTCAGTATATTCAGCCTCTTGAATACAAGATTTAGTCTTAAACCCTAATAGTTTGTAGTTCATCCCTTGCATAAACTTGATAAATAACCACCACAATTTCACTTTTAATATCTTTCCCTAGTAAATAACTGTCAGAATTTATAATATAATTCTCCACCATTTGTCAGAATAAAAAAGGCTTTTACTTTTACTTCTTAATAGTATAAATATATATGGTGTTGTTTTTGGTCTTGTACATTAGGTGTCTGTGAGTTGTTGGCGATAAATTCAACGATAAATAAACAGCATGCACTTTACTTGTTTCAAAATAATATATATATTCAGAACAAGTTAAACATATGTACAGCAAATTATTCACACTATAGAGATTACAGGCATATCATAAACACTATATATATATATAATTCTCTTCTTGTCAAAAGTCCACTGTCCAGTTACTTTAGAATTTCAGTTGACAAGCCAAACTATTTTCTCTATTAATATTGCAGTAGTATTCCCTGTGAGATTCACTTACAGTTGTGGCATGAGTTACCATAATTGTTTGGTTTTCCTTCTTCTGTTTCTTTTACCAAAGTGCACTCAGGCTGATTCAATTACTTTAGAACCATGCATTGATGGAATAAATTATTTTTCTTATCTTTCTTTCTACTGTTAGTCTTACTCTAACATTAAATGTTAGGCCTATGTCAATCGTTAGGCCTATCACTTTTATGGTAGTTAACTCTTCCCTTTGTAACTTTACTTTCTTCTGCTATTGTGTCTGCTGCTTCTCGCTCATCTCACGCTATTTATATCTTTTATCACCTAATTGTTTGTCCGCCTTCTATATTCTCAATGTCAATATATTGCATGTGATGTTCATCAATGTCAACCTCAATGAATTAATAACAAAACCTCCTACAGTCATCTGCTTTTAACTCTTATTATAACAAAACTAAACAATAATAAAATAATCACTCACAAAAATAAATAAATCAATAACATCTAAACTAAACAGTCTTTTATATCGTGACAGTAACTTATAACCTGTATTGAGATCACTTCTCCTCCACATAGTAAAATTATCAAACTAAAATGTTGCCACTGACAGGAGCATATACATATACATGTAGTGCCTATCCATCAATTGTTGAAGTAATTCTTAATTGCACATACCTTAACATCAGATAAGCCATTCTGTAAGTTTATACAAACTCTTAACATTTAACTGAAAAAAAATAATTCTGACAAAAACATATCTAGTTTTAGTCTTCTAAAGCTTAAGCCTGTTACTTATAATATCCAGGGTTTTATTTCTATTCTTTTCACTACCCTTTGGGAGACTTCTCAAACTCCTAATAAACATGAACACCAGAAACAAGCTTTCTCTAATTATTGAATGCACATATGGAGGTGTAGGAAGCAAATATTAGCAGGTTATTGTCGTATGTGTATCGAAAAATAAGAACGCATCACTTATGTATAGATATTTAGTAAAACTCAGTTGAACAATGTTGAAAAAGTATAAAATTATTGAGGGCACCAGAACTTACAAAAAAAAATTTTAGTAAACATACCAAAAAAAAAAATTAAAAAATTTATTACTGATACATATAGCTTAACCTTAGAATTTCTGAAGGGATTCTTTGGCTTCTTTAATATGTTTTGTTGGCAATTTACTTGTGTATGTACTAGTTGCTTATGGGTCCATGATTGTTAATTGCAGGGTTCTTAGTGACATATGAATTATACAGAAATTATATATGAAAAGTATGGAGTATTTTGTTCAGCCTTGGACTCCTTACCGTTGAATTTACCTCATCTCACGTGTATAGCTGTACTCATT